TTTCTATTTGTAATAAACAAATGTGCATCTTTTTTTCGACCACTGTTCAGTTTATATTTGGGTACATATGTGAAATGAAAAATGTACCAAATTCTCGAAATGTGCAGGTTCAAAATTGGTTTAATCACTTTTAATCTTCAATTCGAATGTTAATTAATCTCGTCGATAATTTCAAGTGGATTTTCATTTCCAAAAATAGCATTTTGTTCTATGGGTGGTTCCATTTTTTTATTCGTCATGAATCATCGTTAAAATTATTCAATGAAACACTCGAGTCGGATGTTGTTTTTCTTGACGCCTGTCATTCCGTAATTCATTTGATTTTAATCGCTTCATTTGCAATGTAACATTATCACAAAGCTGCATACGTTCACTCAGTGCAGATGAGAAAAGAAGAAGAAAAAAAACTCGTTAGACGAGGCCATTTATTCTGTTCGGCATCGAAGGCAGTACGAACGTTCGAAAAAATTTATTAAAATCAAGATAACACACAGCGAATTGCCACCATTAGAACTTTTTATTATGACAGCAAACATGATTCTAGCATCATTGTATTCATTGGACGATCGATGTGAATATAATGGCATCGTTTTCAGATAATCACTGTCAATAATTATTCGTGATATTTCGAAATAAACGCACGCCGAATCGGCCATTTCGTTTTGTTCTCCGGAAACTTAAATGCATAAAAAAATCGTAAACACTTCGAGAGGGAAGGAACAAGTTTATTTTCGCTCGAAATCACGTCAAATGTGACCATCATACTGGTTCCCATACGTATCGATGTATTTCGTGTAAACCCTCATTTGTGCCGGAGCTTGTGCACAATCGACAAAAATCGAAAGCCCCCCGGCTTTGTCGAATTTATGCATATGAAGTAAGCATTTTCCATTAGATTTGTTGGTCGTCGTCGTCATCGCCGTAGTCATTGTCGTAAGGCCGAATAACATTTTCAATATCACGGAATAGTTGAGCACAATTTCAAAAAACATTTGCCATTTGCCACGGTTTACGACAACCAAAGTGTCGGCGCAGAAGTTTGTATTATATCCTGTGCTCTTTCCGATAGTCTCCTTCTGCCCAATTCACTTTCGGAAACAGTCTTTCCGTTTGAATAACAAATCATTGTTGTTATATTTATATTCTGTTGCAAAGGAATATCAAATCTGCCAGTCCTTTGTTTCAAAAAAGTTAAACCAATGCTTGCCCGAGTAGCAAATTTCCCCTTTTTCCCGGTTGCAAATGGGTTACTATAACTTAAATACAACTCCAAAGATGTTGCAAGCCGATCTTTGTAACGTTACAATAACCGTATTGTAAGCTGTTTAGCCGCGAGGCGGGGCTTATTTGTAACAAATTGGTTATAATTCGGTTATAATTCGATTTTAGTTATGTTATTATATCGTTGCAATAGCCATGCTCATAAATCGCATACTGTCATATAACCAAAATATAACTTTTTTATAACCAAAGAAAGTTTCAATAAAGTTACTATCGAGTTTCAATTTGAATGTTCATTCTTCAATTCATTCCTTTCAACGGCATCATCATTTATCTCTATCTTTGCCAAATTCAACTTGAAAAATATTTAATCGCTGGGCAATTACATATATATGTGTGAGAATGAAAATATTTTGCCGATTTTGAACATTTTCAAAATCGAAATTTTACAACGAATGTCATTTTGTCGTCAATAGTGGCCACGATAGGCTCTTAAAATTCACGCGCCCTTCAAAAATGCAATTTTGAGAAAAAATGTGCAAAATATTTTTTTTCAATTTTTTTAATTTTTTCGTTTAACTATCTCAAACCATTTCAAATACGATTTATAATGTCAAAATTATAATAATTAGCTAAAACGCAATGTTGAAAATGCATAAATATATGATAAATTCGATTTTATTTTCGAAAGAACAAACGCATCGATGCGCAAAAAATTCCAAACAGCAGTAAATATGGCGATTTTTACTGCCATTGTTACTAAAACTCAAATGTAACTCAAATAGAACCTTGGAATTGTTGTAACAATACTGCTACATTGTAGTAATGTTGCAGGAACTTCTTAGCTTCCATCTAGACTTTCATCATATAAAAACACGTTGCAAAAACATTTCGGCAACATATTTACAACTTGTGTTATTCAAGTTGCATTTCAGTTTTTGAAATGTTGTATAAACGTAAGAGTAACAAATAAAATTCTATTTTGCGTTTCAATGTCAAACAATATTTTGGATGCCAGCATATTTTTGAACAATTCTCTACGTTTTTTCTATAATTTCCATTCTTTTTGATTTTATCCCACGATAGTTTCAATGAAATTGGTCTATTTTTGTTTTGTTTTCCATGATTTTATTTTATTGCCACAGAATTTTGATTAGGCGATGTATTCCTTACGGAAAGAATTCTAATGACAGCCAAATTCTATTTCTTTATGCAACATATCTACATTCAATATGTTTAGTTGAAGTAACCTTACTGTAACCTCTATATAACATGAATGTAACTTAATTATAACTTGAATTACGTTATTGTAACAAGAAAGATAGTAATGAAGTAGTTTCAACACAAGTTGTTTTTTTTTGTGATTTCTCTGTTTTTATCGTAATGATTGGTTTTGGATTGGATGAAATCCACCAACGCGAAACGTTTAACGTTCTCAACGTTTTCGAAACTCATTAGCTTGGCAAATTCTTCAACAGGAATTGCATTCTTGGACCAAATGTATGAATGTTTGACAAGGTGAAATGCACTGACGTATCATGGTTACGTATGTAACCAAATCGTAGTTGCAGCAACGTTACAATAAAATTTTGAGATTATGAGTTATCTGGCAACCAGTTGGTAAATTTGTTAAAATATTTCTCCTTTTCTGCAACTTAAAAATAACTTTTCTATAACTTATATATAACAAAGCGGATGTCTTGTTACCTAAAAACCACATTGCAACTGTTCTATAACATATTTTGTTGCGAATAACTGAATTGAAACCGATTTATAACAAATTTTGGTTGCAAGCCTGAGATTTTTGCTACTCGGGTGGGTTCGATCGCAAAGAATAAAGCCAAGTTATTATTTGGCAAATATATTGGTTCTATTCAATTAAATAAACTTTGTTTAGCAGAAGGTCACATAAGGAAATCGACTTCTTTTGTTTGAATCACTTCAGTTTTGCCAGGCAGAAATCTTTGCATCCATCCAAAAGTCAAACTATCGACAAATTTCAGGCATTCACATTAATTGACACGAACCAAATGAACTGGTCGCATAATTTCCATTGATAACTTCTCCAATTAGTCTGATCTGAATATATTGATAAATTTCTTCGAAAATATCATTGGTTTGAACAACCGAATATTTCGATTTTGTATTATTTTCAGTCACCCTATCTGTTTGTCCTTCGAATCGAATTCAAATCAAATGATTGGAGAAGTTGCTTCCATGTTTCTGCATCAATGAGCAAATTTTTTTGTTTATTTTTTCAATTTCATCCTTCATTTAATTCGATGAAACCCATATGTGCGCTATTACGCAGCACAACAACTGGACGCTCGCATCAGATGTAGTTTTTGTTTCGTTTCTCCGTTGAAACAAATCACTTGTGCTTAAGAACACGAACCGTTTGTCTGAAGCGGATATTTTTCCGAGCAAATAGATTTCAAGACCTCAACTGCATAGGATTCGCCCAATTGGCTGATTTCATCAATGGGAAAGATGAGCACAACGCGTTGCTGGAGCCATCCAATCAGAGTAAAACGATAGAGCTGAAATACCCAGCTGAACCATAAATTATGGCGAAAATCTTCGTGCTTTTGGGCTTTTCGTTCATTTTGAATGATTATTCAGCATAAAAATGTCGAAGCCGCAATCATCTCTAAACCGTTTTCTCTGCTCTGTAAGCAGTGGCGTGATTTTCTCATGCGTAAGTGATTCGCGGAAACTACATGTTTTCGAACATAATACTATATATTATTATCGATCGACTCCTGTATTCAAATGGCAACCGAATTTTTGACTAAGTATCCTCTCTACTGCCTGCAAATTTCGACAATTTTTCCATATTTTATCATATTGAAGGCATTTACTTACCCCGCCCGGCAGCAGCAAACATAATAATCGCTACTAATCGAATGAGTTATTGAACCGACACAAAGTATGGTAGAATGAATGCATATTTGCTTCTGAAAGGGATTTTCTTGCGTAACTGCAAGCACGACAGCAAATTAATATGATCATCATGAATGAAATATCGTCAAAGCAAGTGTCCTTTTTTCTGAAGTAATTCTTTGCAAATACAGCCAAAGGAAGTATTTTCATCCGGTGAAAAAAAAAATCGGAAAACAATTTTTCTTACCAAAATACCTTCAATACCGTGTTTTTGTGCTACATAAATGCAGAAGATGGAGATGCAAATTACATTAAGCCATGACAATGGTCATTTATTGAGGGAAAACCTACTTGCACGAAACGCGATGCACCATGCCACCGAATTTTTAATAGAGGGTTAACGGCCATTAATTTTGCATCGCATTCAATTTCGCTTTAAGTGTTGTTCCTCTTGCAATTTTTTTCCGTTTGTGTTTTAAGCATATAATTTGGTTTGAAGAAATGAAAACAAGTTGGAACATTTAATCGCAAATCGTCATGTAAAGAATTTGCGTTTAAGAAATATAGATTCTCGTTTAGCATGTCTCTCTCTCTTCATTTGAATGTGAAAATATTAAAAAGTAATGAAAATGTTCATGTAACTGCCATTTTCAGAACGATTACCCAATTTGAAAATTACAAATGTAATACGTTTTTGGTAGGTACTTGAAGTGCGCTCAATTCTCTCAAGAAAAGTGACCGTGACACATTACATTTTGTGGATTCGCTATAAATCACACTTTCAGTCGCAAAAATACCTGTTACGCAAACGTGGCAATTCAAGAAATTATCACAATTTTTTGGAAACGGGCGGAGTTATTAACGATTTTTTTTCTCTGTTTTTTTTTTCTCCTAAGGTGCCAATGGATTACGTCGACGTGGCCGACAAACCTATACGAGGTACCAGACGTTGGAATTGGAGAAAGAATTCCACACAAATCACTATTTGACCCGAAGACGTCGCATCGAAATGGCGCATGCTTTATGCCTAACAGAACGACAAATCAAAATTTGGTTCCAAAATCGGCGCATGAAATTGAAAAAGGAAATTCAAGCAATCAAAGAGCTCAACGAACAAGAGAAACAGGCACAAGCTCAAAAAGCCGCCGCATCTGTACACGATCAATAAATTTTCACTCACACACCCATTAAAATTACGAAATAAAAAAAGAAACAGTTTAATATAATAATCGTAAATTGAAGTAAAACATTATGAAATACACTAAATTTACGTAAAATAATGAGAAAAAAATCCTTACTCTACTATAAAACTGAATACAAAGTAATAATATATGATGATGGATTAGTATGTGTAAAAAAAAGCCGTAGAAGAAAAAGCTAAGCTCTCACTCAATCTCATTTTGCGGAGAATACAAAATATTTCAAGGCTAATTTGCTTTAGAAAGAAACCATAGTCTGTCACTCCTATCTTCTTTTCTTTTAAATGCATCAGATATCTTTATTTATTTTGTTTATTTTTTTATTTTGTTCCCCAGCCATTTCATACTCTCTAATCAGTAGATTCAAATGTAGTGAAGAATAGAGGTAGACAATTGAAGACAGCAGAAAGATACACAGATTAAGCAAATTGCAAATTTATAGATTTTAAATCGATACAAGACACACAGACATTGGCAAAAAAGAAACCAAGACCCCATAGAAAATCAGATAATTTATGGTATTCAGTAAATGTTCTTTTTTTGGTTTCTGAAATCTCAGTATGGGTTTCAGTGATTCTTTTAATCACCCGCAAACATTTCAATTTATTAACGATCTATTTGGGACAACTTGATCAGCGACTAAAAAAACCAATTCTAACAATAAAACTGAATACGATGAAAAAAATAAACACTCCCGTCTTTCGAATTCTTGATGTGCAATTGAAATTTTTCTTTGGGAAAATTTTTATGATATTTATTTTATAAACGGAGACAAGAGAAACAACAAGAAGATTAAGAAGCAACCACCATCAAAATTCGATCGTTCATCATAAGCTTTTATTTCACTGGTTTGAGTTTACTTTAATCGTTGCATTTTTTGCAGTATACGGTGCCAAAGAATTAAAAGAAAAAAGAAGAGAATAATCACGTGCAAGCAATTTTATCCATGAATATGTCGAATGACGGTGATGTTGCAGTTGCTCGATGGAAATTGGTTCGATTTTGTCTTTTTGCAATTTTTTGTTATTGTTCTTCTTCTTAAAGCGTAATTTATGTATTGATTAAACAGGCGTGTGTCTTATATTTGAATCCACAAGTAACAAAATGATTTTCGATGAAACAATATTTTTCTTTCTATCCCAGTGATTGTTTTCTTCATCCTATTAAATGCTAAGATTTTGATTTAAAAATGTTTACAATTTGTTGGTATTATTTTTCTTAAATGTCTTTTGCAAATGTTCTGAACTCTAAAAATGAAAAAAGTCTTTGCCACTTTCATTTTATTTGTATGAATTATTAAAAAATTGTGTTTATCGTCAACTTTTTTTGTAAATAAAATGATATTGTGTTTCTTTTAGTTTAAACTACCGTTTGAACAGGCAGAAAAGAGTAAAAAAATAGAAATATTCCGCAAAAATTCAATACGTATGTATTAGGTAATAAAAACACACAACACTAAAGTATAATACAAAACCTATTTGATAAGGAGCTTTAAAGAAAACAAAAAAGTTTTGCAAGGAATCATATTAAAACTGGCATAAAAACAACAAACCACCAAAATTTAGTTTTTGGAATGGTCAAAAGAAATTCATTGCAAAAAATGTACAAGTATTTTATGAGATTTGTTTTTTTTCTTATTCTCCTAAGTGCAAACCATTCAAAATGCCGAATAAAAAGCAGCCAACCAAATGAATGCTTAACTTAATGGCAACAAACGAAACAAAATATACGACAAATGAATATACGTAAAACAAAAACACCTAATTTAAATTTTAAAACAACTGTGAAAGTATAAATTATTGATAGGATTAAACGTATACATTACTGGTAAAACTAAACAACTTATTGAACGCATTTGTTTTCGATTGCGAAACACGTTCTAAGTGACCGTTTTGAACCACAACGTTGATGAAAAAGAAAAATTTCAGTAAAAACAACAACAATTTTAAAATGATTTAATTAGATGATAAATTGCATAAGAGATTCAAAAATGACACACGATTTCATTGGAAAATGTACTTAATTAATCTTACACCATTTTTGGGATTTTTAGATGTTATGAACAAGTGAAAGCATTAGCTATTGAACATTTGTACATGTTTCTTAGTTACACACTGAACCAATTCTATACCGATTTACTCACTCTATCTCATGACGAAAGGAAAGCGATTACTCGTTTTCATACTATACACAATAACCCTGCCAAGAAAGTCTGAGCTCAAGGAAATGAATATGAATTTTAGTTTTTTTTTTCAACAACAAAAAAATCCTGTAAAAATCGAATAGTTTCAAATGAAAACCACATTCGAACATAAATTTCTTTCAAAGAAACACAAAACACAACAATATACGTAATGATGAAGTGGAATTCCTTGTGTTCACGGCATGAACAACATATACAAAATACCGCAAATGAACATGCAAAAGAAGAAAAAAAAAAAGTAAAAATAAATCAGGAACTAAATCTAGAAGCCCCATGCAAAAGTTAATCGAAATACGTAATAATCTAGTGACGTTTATATGAATATTGCATTAAAAATTTATTGATAATTAACTATTATGATTATTATTGCTACTGCATAAAGATGGAAAACCAGTGGCACAATTTGACATCTGAAAAGAAGGGAAAAAATAAAAAAAAATATTAAAAATGTATTACAACTATAAGTGTATTGATTAATTATATTGACGATTTCTTTCATCATTCAACAACGTGAATATAGAGAAAGCATTAGTGTGCAATTGTGCATAGTTATGGTTGCTTTTGATTGTTTTCCTTTCAGTTTATTAGTTCTCAACATTTGATTCTTTTTCTCGTTTGGTTCATTGTACATTTAATTTTGATCTCGATTTATTGCGTATAGCGACTGAATATTATGAATTTTACCTAGCGAAATGCTCATTATTTTTTTACGGATGGTACAGCACTATTGACACTCTGCCAATGGAGTGGTCATAATTTGTCGGTCGAGGCAATTTACGAACCGATTTTTTTTGAAAAAAAAAACTTTCTTTTCATTCAGAGAAAAAGAAAACATTGTGTATATTTTGATTGGTTTGTTTATCATTATCATCTGTCTTTTTTGTCTCTTTGTTTCTATCTATAATGTATTTCTGTTGTTTGGCAAAACTGTTTCACCTAACCCCCCCTTCATTTCATTTGGACACGTAATGAATAGTATTCTTTGTGAATCGTGAATGTATACGTAAATAAACGACAAGTAAGAAAAAGGAGTAAAACTTAGTCAATAAGATCCATATTATAACTAAAAGAATCTTAAACAGCAAACAGAAAAAAACAACTAAATGAAATGTAATTTATAATTATAATATATGGATTCAATAAAATAGAAAATAAAAGTAATAAATAATTCGTGATGTTTTATTTTTCACTGATTGAATTTCAGCTACATTCAAAAGAAATGAAAGTTTTGAAAAATCTTTTCATTGCTTTGGGAAGCCATCTGACGAAAAATCATAGAACGACGGCTATAAAAGCTGCCGAAAACTTCTTGACACCCAACGACATCTGTCGACCGAAGTAACTAACCACTAGCACTTTTTCTGTAGAAAAAGAAATTCGCTGTATCTCTCGTTGTGTTTACCCATATTTAAAGGAAAAACTAGTAGTTAAAAGTGAAAAATAATAAATAACTACCAAATATAATAAACGTTTTCATTAAAAATAGCTTTAAAAAGGATCTTTATTGAGATCCAAACGTGAAAAAGCATATTTACATACAATGACACCGTCTCGCAAACAAAATGAGTGATAGAGACAGCGTCAGCCATATTTCAGAAGGAGGAGCAAACCGGCCATTAAAATACGAGTTATGTGCTTTTTTTGCTATTGTCGACCCGCTCCGTTCCATTCAACGCATACAATCCATCTCGTTCGTTCGCTGTATTTGTCGGCTCGTTAATGTGTTGTGTTTGAACTCATATATCTTGATGCGACCACGTGCTACGAACATATTTTATTTACGAAACAAACCAAGCGGTACATGAAGCTTTTCGCGTTGCATGGATAAAATAGCACTGTGGTTGCGCATTTCAGTATGCGAACAAACGATGGATGGAACAAAACGCAAAGAGCGAGCACAACGGAGCGAAACTCGTTTTTCTGTTCTATGCCACATTTTCGTAGTTCGTACTTTTCGAATAGCTTTATTAATACGCAACGATGTGCTGTGCTAGTGCTGTTGCTGCTGCTGCTACTTTTTTATGAATGAAACTTTTATGCTTTCACTTTGCCGCCGTCGGAGTACGGAGCATACCCGGTAAGTGTGTTATCGGTTTGATCGTTAAAATAAATGGTTTGTTATTATTGCATTTTATAGAAGTTGATGTGATTTCAAGCACACAAAACAAAACAGGTAAACAGTGACTCCGGCCGCAATAAACATCAAACAATTGGTTAGCATATGTTCAAATAATTTCGATTGATTTTTTATGATTATTTTTTGCCCAAAACAAATCACTTTACACCTACTAAAAATTTGTTTGGTGGGAATTTTTTTTCGATCCTTTTTTTGACAAATTGAATGCAAATGATAATTCTGAATCCTACAACTTCTGAAGGAATAGTTCGAAGCTGAAAAAAATATGCATTTATTGAATGAAATTTAGTTGGAATTCAAGAAATTGCATAACTTTAGGCAATTTCTGGTAAATGCTGCGCATAAAGGCAGGCGTATACAGAGCAAAATTCAAACAATGTATTTCAAGTCTACTTTCACATGCTTGAGTATTTCTCATATTTTCAACATTCTGTGGGTCATTGCGAATGAACGAACATTTTTAGTATAATTAACTCTTCGTTTGATGGATGAGCTTCATGAAAGCCACTTAATGAAATAAAGAATTTATTCAATAATTTCGACTTTCAACAGAACATTTGTTTTGCAGGAGCAACGACTTTCGAATATTCAAATATCAGACGTTCATTCGATTTGACAAAAATTTTCATATGAAAAACCTTCAAGAACCAAAAAAAAATGTATTCAAGGAAAACCAAATTTTGGATCAAAAATAAAGAAATGGAAATTGTAAAAAAAAGTCACATAAATTGTTGCAAGTATCCTCTACATCTATTTCACCCAACGTTGAATCGACTAGTGTCCTATGTAAAATGAAATTAAAACTGTAAATGGCACTAACCTCTGCGTGGATGGAGAGTACTTTTGCTGGTGCACTCGAAGGTACTAGTACAACGTGCATATTAAAGATCATAAATATTATTGTGCAATATGAAACATGTATGCGCATGTGACGCTGTACTACTGTCACTGTCGCATGATACAACCCGGTCGACGAAACAATAATTCACATCAAAATGTAAATAATTAACTTGCTTCGTGCAATCTCTCGTCGTTTCAATTTCGTTCTTTTCGCTTCGTTTCATTCTACACTTTTTTTTTATTCACAACTCGACTAATTTGAAATTTAAGCCTTTCTGTTTGTCATCGCCTGTGTCATCATTATGGCAACGGTATAAATTATTTCAGAGCACACGAAGAAGTGTTTTGTTTAATATTTCTAATAACATGTTCATTACATGTTGTGGTTGTGTGAGTGGGAGAAGGGGATGGTGTCCCTCTCTCTCTCTCGTTGTAATTTGATTTGACGTAGTGTGGCGTTGATCTATATTTCGTTGGCTTTCATTGGGTGCAAAACCGTGTTCATAAACAAGGATTTTTGTGCCTGATAAATTGGTGTAAAAGTGCTGCTTCTGTTGCTGTTACTCCTGCTCCTCCTGACGTTGTTGTTGTTAGGTGCTTTCGTTGCTCGTTGCAATTTACTGCATAATGATCATTAATTGTATCCGATTATTGGAGTACAGTTCATAATATCTCTTCCTTCCTCAGTCACTGGATACGTGTAGCTCTTGTTAGCAAATAGTTTACTATTTCCGATTTCCTGCATCGTACATCTTCAGTTGCGCTGTATTGCTGCTGCACGAAACAACGAACATCGCCAAAAAAGGAGAGAAAATATACGACTATCTATCGAATGAAGCTGCTGAGGCGACCAAAGAAGGAAGTAAAGCAAACATGTACACACACAAGCGCCGTGGAAACAACAAACTGAACACCGACTAAAAATAATAATTTATAAGCAAGGAAAATTGATGAAAAATTAGCAAAATAATAATTGTTAAAATGCTCTTCGTTGGGGGATACTCAGCCATCGGTCGATGGGAAAGGTGGGATGAGTTCGAGCTGCCTCTGACGCAGCCATTGCCGTTCCCGCTGCTATTGTTGGATGTGAACAGAACGGTTGTGTCTATGATTTAGTATTGGGAATGTGTTATTTTGTGCACATTGATAAATAAAATACATTTGTACGCGCGACCCTGCATACGTTCACATATTTTATGCAGCCACATGAAAATTTATGGGTTTTATAAACTTGGATACCTATTTAAATACGCATTATGGTATGTGCTTTAACGTGAGCACAAGAGCACATTTTTCGTACATTGCATTCCACAGCCATGCCGTGTGTTAAGCATAGCAGTTAATTTGTCCGTATGTTCGCTTCAACTGCTTTCTTTTGCACTAAATTAATTACTGCTGCACGGAAGCAAATTGAAGAGGCTAAATTTAAACTAAAACGCGTGCAAATGAATTTTGCGCCATCGAATAGAGAAAAACGCGTCTAATTCTAGATCGAACACACCGCACGCAGCACTCCAAATTGATTATAAGCATATATGTACATAT